GTTTTGCCGTTTACATGCATCCAGTCCAAAAGCAAGCCTACTAATTGGCTTTTAGGTCTGCTAATTCAAATGGGATATAGGTTAGTCGATTAGTCTTGTGGCAAACACAACTCAAGAATGAATTGTATTGCTTAGTAATTTTGGGAGGGAATTTGTAATTAGGGTGTCAGGATGTGTAACTCATCCCATTCGGCGCTTTGTGACCTCTGATAAATCGAATAAAATAAATTGAATCCACCCTATAAAGTCAAAATTATACATCTGGAATTTTCCATATTTTGACTGTAATTGTCAATTGATATTTGCTGCTGGTCCATAAAAGCATAGTTTTCCGTTAAATTCCTTGTGCATGCATTGAAAAAGACCACTAGCCATGATGAAATTATAATCAAATATAGTAATAAATGATGTATTTTGTAGAGAAGACAGCGTGTAATTTAAGCCTTAAACAAGCATGATGTTCGCGTGACAGTGTTGGATACATACACTGAATGTGTAAAGTGTATAAAGCGTCATCGTTGGTCACGAGTTGAACAAGCTTGTTAATCGGAACTGGACGGTGGCGTGCTATGTGGCGGTGCAGGCAACTAAGTCAATCGGCACAGAGTAGGAGGTGAATGTGACCATAGGTATTTGATCGAATCGCGGCATGATTAAAGTCACGACGAATCATATTTCCAGTACCGCTGGTACCATCCCCTCAGGAATATTTGCGTCGACATTTAAGCGGGAAGCGCTCAACCACTTAAAGATGACGATATGGCTTTAAAGGATCCGATGATACAAGGGACAACTAGGAAATTCATCACACGAAGCAATACACCCTCTCAACGTACTGCGTAAAGTAATGCAATAAAGGAGGGTGATTACTGGATTCTCGTGTAAGGGAGAGCCAAATTAATGCTATGAGAGTCTACACGTCAGAAACCTGATCAGCTTATTTTAAACAGATTAAGCATATTCTTGCACGGGGAAGCAATGCCTCCAAAGTGAGTAGATTTCCATGAATGACTTAAAAGGCGTGGC